ACATTAATATGTATCCCAATGTTTAGATTTAATCTCGGAATCATTGTTTTGGAAATGCTCATAAAACTCACCTAATCCTACTCAATACATAACAATAGAGTTTCACCTTAGCAACTGTAAGATGCTGGAACTCTAGAAGTTGAAGTCTACATATTTTAAAATAGCAGAGATTGAGAACTGCACTAGAGCATCTTATGACTATTAGCTTCTATCTGAAGGAATACTCACCACAATATGTGCCTGCTCATTCCACTAGCTGATGGCTTGCTCAGTCAGGAAATCCCCCTAATTCCTAAGCTGAACCTTTCTGTAATTATAATCTGTTGGTACTGATCCTGCTGTCTCAAGTCCAAGTCTGCATCTGTATGATCAGCTATTTGAAGGTGGTATCATACCATCTTTTAGCCATATTTTTAAAGACTAAGCATATTAGGATCTTACACGTATTATTCTTGTACAGCCTTGTTTCCAGATCCTTCACCATCTTGATATCCCTATTTTGAATTTGATTTGAATTATTATTGTCCTTTCTGCACTGTGGTGGCCAGACCTGTTCCAGATAACAGATAATCGGAGTTGGAAGGAACCTTATAGGTCATTTAGTCCAACCACTTGCCCAAGCGGGAGACGCTACACCATTTCTGACAAATGGCACTCCAATCTCTTCTTGAAAGTCTCAAGTGATGATGCTCCCACAACTTCCGAGGGCAAGCTGTTCCAAATGTTCCACCTGGACCAAATATTCTAGATAGTGTCTGATCAGGACAGGTAGAATTGAATTATATCCATGATGTGGATTCTATGCTTCTGTTAATGTATTACAAGATATTGTTTGACTTTTTAGATACCGCATCATACAGCTAATGTTTGATCTTGATTGAACACAGATCTATTTCGCATATAGAACAAACCATACTTTCCTCCATAGCTTCCATTCATTTCTTACATTTTCCTATGCAAATGTAGAAAATTGTATTTTTCTCTTGTTAAATTCCATCTTATTTGGATCAATTTATTGCTCAAGTTTGTCTAGTTTGATTTTTTAAAATCCTTTTTCATCTAAATTATTAGACAAGCCTCACAATTTTAAGTTTTTCCTGTATGCCCTAATGTAATATTTGATATATTTTACAATATATAATCTAGACCACAAAGTCATAGAACACAAGCTCCTCTCTAACCTGAAATCAAGCCATTAATGAGTACAGTCAGTCAGCTGTGTGTTTATCTAATTAGATTATGTAGTCTAAATTTTACCTTTTTATGAAATATAATGTTATGAGGTACTTCGTTGAATGTTTTGCTGAGGTTCAAGTATATCTATGATATTTCTTTCATCTACTTAATTTTTTTTTTCACTTTGATCTACTAGTTATTCTTTCAAAGAAGGGATAAGTTAGTTTGGTACAATTTGCTTGCAACAAATCTATGCTGGTTCTTTTTCTTGCCTAAATGTTCACAGTCATACATACTTCTGTCAGAGGCTTTGCCTAGTATATATGTCAAGCTGACAAGTCTATGGGTTCCTGAGTCTTCTTCCTGAAATAACACCTCTATTTTAATCTTGATCAAATAAACCAAAATTATATTTTTTCCTTTTAACAATCTTGGTCTTTAGTCCCTTCAAACCTAGGTTTGAAACCTAGAGCTTAGTTTCTTTTCATTTTATCTTTGTCTCTTGTCACAAAGTTCTTCAAAGCTTTAACAAATCTCTTTTGTAAATCCAATATAAAAAAGTTATCCAGGTCATACTTGGTTTTTTATTTGTATATCTCTTTTAATTATTAAGACATCATCTGATTTCATTGGTACATCCAGTGTAGTATCTTTTTCCATGTCATTGTTATAACTTTTCATTTTCAAATCAATCTCAATCCTGTCAGATAAAACTTGTTCTTCTTTCATAACATATTTTAAACACAGTGTTATATATAGAGGCAGACATCCGTAAAATTAACTTCTGAGACAATTGTTCAAAAGAATCCTTCAATATGTTGAATGTTGAAGTATTTAGCTTCATTCTATATTCCTAAATTGAATTCAAGTTTTCTTCCCCTTTAACTGTAACCTTTAATTCATTCTAGTTCTCTCTAGTGTTTAATTTTTAAAGTCTTATTTTAACAGATATTTGTACAGTTTGTAACTTTCAAAAAATTATTCTTTTATTGCTTATTTCAAAAATTTAATCTTTTCAGGCATTTGAAGGAGAGTCATCCAGTGTTATAAAACTTGTCAATTCTAAGGTGTAATAGCTGTAATAGTAATAGTAATAGTTCAGTTGTAATAGTTCACAAGCAATTTTCCAAAAGGAAGTAGTAAGTCCTTTTAAAGGCATCAGTTCTTTTTTTAAAAAAGTGTCCTTTTAAAGGCATCAGTCACAATTTGAGCAAGATGGCTATTCCCTTATTTCCCATAATTCTAAACTTGCTTGTAATGTCTTCATAGGGAACAACTATTCGGGGCATTTGTAGGTGATCTCAAATCATCTACTTGTCTGGAGAGGAATTACGAAGAATTGATCTGTTTTCTGGCTCTTCTGTCTGCCATTTTACCCCGAAGTCCATTTTTCCCACTCACAATGGAACTAAAGTGTCTTTAATTTTCCTTTCATTTCCAACATATCCAAAGAGCCCTTTTTGTGTTATTTTTGGTACCTCTTAAAAGCCTCAGTTCATTTTTGTTATTTTTGGTACCTTTTAAAAGCTGTACATTTTTTTTTGATAATTCCTATAGTTTTGGAGATTTGGGAACAAATCTGACTTCCAGCTGACATCGCAGTGAGATTGGACACGAGGAGTGGGTCTCTGCACTCCTATGTCAAGTTGTCTCCATTGGTGGGCTGTGAAAGGAGCCAAAGCCGCCCTGTAGGGGTGGCAAAGCAAAAAGGGGCACCTTATGAGATGGAGGGTCTCAACTCTCCTGCTGGACCCAGGGTTTTCTTTCCCTCTCATGATGAGAAGAGGCAGCCTAAAGATGGCTGCCATGGAGCTGGGGCAGCCGAGGAACATCTAAGAGTGGTGCTGGAGTAGAGTTAGTGAACAGAGTCTGGAACTAGGTGAGAGGATTCTTTTCTATTTAAAACCTTACCCCCAAAGGAAAAAATCCAGGAAAATAGAGATTCACAACTATTTGTTAAAGCAGTGACCAAGCACTTTGAGAAAAATTTTAGAATTGAAAGAAAAGAAGCAAGGGAAGAAAAGCAAAAAAACCCCAAACTTTTAAAAATACAGAAAATTGGACTTTTAAATTGAACAGGTCCTGGAAAGGCATTTAAAAATACTGAAACTATTTACCTTAAAAACTAACTTTGTTTTAATACCTTGACTTATTATTTTATTAAAACTGGTTAACATTGAAATCTAAACTGAGAGCACCATCTGCTGATGAAAGGAAAGTATAACATATTCCTAAATCCTGGAAAACTGACAAGGATATGTTTTATACACCTATGACATGACTACTGGAGATTTAAATATAAGAATAGGGAAGATATCCTCATTAAAGAGACCTCTGAATACAATGATACAAGTTTGAACTCATAAAAGGGATTTAAGGGGGTTCTGGAAAGTTTTTGGCATTGTCTAAAGGAACAAATTAACTATGGAATACCAAAAAATTGAATTTTGGGGGGAAGTAACTTTAAGCTTGAATATATGAGGATTTTTATCATTGGACAAGAATGGGACTTATTAAAATAAGATGAGATGCTGCATCAGGAGGAAATGAGTGGAATGTGGAAAGAAATGGCATAGATATTTCAAAGAATTAAGGACATTCTGATAAGAAACCATGAGGAGATTAAGAACTTAATGCATGGCATAGATGAAAAACTGGGAAATATTATACAAATGAGTGACCAACACTCCCAGTAAAAGGAGGAGCCAATTGAAAGAGCAGATGAAAAAGCAGAACAGATAACCAGCAAACAAAATAGGGTGATAAGAAGGAGACAATAACAAAAACAACAATGACTGATTAAATAAACTAAAGGGAAAATATTTTAAAAGATTTAAAAAGGGAATCGGAGATGTAGGAAGACATTTTCGAAAGGGAGATAGGTGCATGGGTAGATATTTTGAAAGCTAGACAATGGAAAAGAGCAGAGATGGGAGAAATGTTTAAAATGAATAGTTTGGACATAGATGCAGATAGGGATAAAGATCTAAAAGAGGAATATGGGAGGCAAGTTAAAAACAAACAATTACTGTAAAGTGGACAAGAGATGAGGGATATAAAGGATTTGTTTTTAAATATAATGGTGACATGATTAAAAGTTAGAATAGAGATAGAAATAAGAGAAGGGGGAATATTAGTATACACATTTTTATACAATAAGACAAAAGTAATAAGAGGGAGAATTAGAAATTGAATGATGGTATTATGCATGTTTAAACAATATTGTGATTGGCATTGGAATAGCATATTGAAACATTGAATAATTAAATAAAGTTTATAATTTAATACAAATATGTGTACCAACACTAGAACTACATAAGCTTGAGGAATGTAATGAATATGATTAATAGCACTATTTTCATTTGTACTAAAATGTATGACACCCAGGTGCCATACTGTTTACGCATTGATATGGATATATTGTAAAATAAAATAAAAAACTTGAAACTTAAAATAACGGAGCAAATCTAAATTCTGGAAAACGATATTCCACAGTGTGAGAAATCTCCCCCCCCCCCACTCCATTTTCTATACTTGCTGCTATATTTCATTGTAAAGATATATTGTGCATAACTTAATTCAATTTGAACAATTGTTTTGCCTATCTGACAGTTGGTAGTCTCAGTATACTGAAAAAGTTAAGTTGACCTCTCTGTCTTTTGACCTACAAAGAAATCAGATGAACTGATAGAACAGTTGGTTACAAGAAAACCAGAGCAATGTGATTACAATCACAATTGGTTTTTATTGCTTTATTCTTTAGAAAATGAGAATTCCTACAAACTCTTCATACATTGTTTGCTGTGTGTATTTTATCCTTCTAGATAATGGCATCGCATCCACGCAGAGTTCGACTGAAACCCTGGCTAGTAGCTCAAGTAGACAGTGGAATGTATCCAGGTCTTCTGTGGCTTAACAGGGATGCAAAACGATTTCAAATTCCTTGGAAGCATGCAACTCGACATAGTCCTCAGCATGAAGAAGAAAATACAATTTTTAAGGTAATTGAAAAACACAGTTCTGCTAGTATGCTACATGATAGAATGGGATTGCTCTCTCTCTCTCTCTCTCTCTCTCTCCCCTCCCCCCCCTCCCCCCTTCAATGGATGGAGGATGAAATTAATAATAGCAAAGGTAGTATACGTATAACCTTAAATTAGCTGTTTTGCAGCAATTAAATGGTTGATATATTCAGAGATACAACCTAATGGAGATATATCCTGCATTGTTTTCATAAACAGAACTACATTCTGAACCTGAAATCCTAGGTGGAAAAACATGCATGCAGTACAAAGGCATTAACACACAGGGACAAATGAAGGGCAAAGCAATATACAAAACATATTCAAATAGGGTTTCAGGTAATTGGTAGATAAAAATCCCTTTCAGTCTTATCTCTGCCTACCCTGCGTACTTTGTGCTATAGCAGAACTAATTTTCCTAGTGGATTGTGGCTTGCTTTCTGAGAAGTTTCAGATTCAACATTTTAATTATCTACTTTTCAACTCTTCATCTCTGCTCTTGTCACTTGTTGTTAAAGTTACTTATCTTAGGCATCTAACTTTCTTTGGAGTTAGCTTCATTCAACTCTGTTGGATTTTCTTCTCAGCATTTTGCTGAGAATTGTATTCACCTGGATTTTTTTTTAAAAAAATGTACACTTGTTTTCATGAAGTACATTTCAGCAATGCATGCTATTTGTATAAATAGGGAAAAATTTTCATGCAATCATTTCTGACAATCTTATAAAGAGAAATAATCAGGGAATAAAGGCATTTGTTAGTGATTTTTGGGGGGGTTGGTGTAGATTTCCTCTTTTCTTTTATTCCAGGAGAGTGAATTAATTTTATCTAGATAAACTTGGAATTCAATTCACATTTTAAAAAAAGTTGATTTGATTTATTGACTTGATTTGATTTATTTTTACACAGTCAGGTATCTTGTTAGAAAAAAGCTTGAGAAAGAAAATATCTGATGGTTTAAAGACATCTGTGTTTTTTAGAAAGGTGAAAGGAAACAATTACCTGTTGCAGAAAGTATTTATTGCCTAGGTGTACTTTTATAGATGAGAATTTGTTTGGCAGCACAATTCAACAGAAGCTGGTATAATGACAACACTTAACCAACATGATGTACTTTGCTCCCAGGCGTGGGCTGTAGAAACAGGAAAGTACCAAGAAGGGGTTGATGATCCTGACCCTGCAAAATGGAAAGCCCAACTCCGGTGTGCTCTCAACAAAAGCCGTGAATTCAAGCTCATATACGATGGCACCAAAGAAGTGCCAATGAATCCGATTAAAATTTATGAAGTATGTGACATCCCACCATCCCTGACACCAATCATTAATCCTGGTGAGAAACAGAGAAACTCTTGTTTAAAGAAGCATGTAACTAATCCTAAACTAATTGTCTTATTGGTAGTGAGGTCTTCTGGGTTTAAGTGAATATGGCAATTATATTGAATAAGTCAATTATAAGTCAATTATTCAATTATATTGAATAAGATAATCAATTTATCCTTTGTGTTATTTAATTGACTATACTTAAGGTTTTCCATTCTACATATGTAGGGATTACTGCATACATGGTACAATTTAAATAGCTCACCTTCCTTTTTAAAGCCAAAATTAATAAAAAAAACTTTTAAGTTCTGGTACATCCTGGCAAGGATCCAGAGAAAGAACATGAAATTTGGGTTTGGGGAGGTCTAGGATTTTTTATGCATCTCTGATGGTTGACCATGGGTTTCTTTTCCCTTCATATTTGAACTGAATAAGGGCACTATTATAAAGATTGCTACACTGGATGGCATTTGTTAGGAACTTTGGTTGCACATTTCCTGTTTGCTAAACAGGACTTTGTCCACACATGGTTGGAAGAAATACAGTATCTTGAGTTAGCTGTTGAATCTGAAAGGCCAATAAATATTTGAGAAAGCAAACTTTCTTCTCTGCCATTTACTTTCTTACACTAGCTACATAGTTCAGTGAAATACATTATAGTATTCTCCTGAAACCTCAAACTTTAGGAGAACTGTTTTATGTCATCAGATCTGAAGTAAGAACCAAACATGGATTTTGGATTTCAAAGACTCTCCTCTGTTTGGAAACCATATGTTTGGAATGTTTAGCATAAGAAGTCCAAAGACTGAATTATTCTGCAACACACTCAGAGGTCTAAAGAATTCCATTTTTTCCTTAGTGTTGTTAAAAATTAGATTGTTAATTACTTTCTTATTTTTCAATTCCTGTATTTTTTCCAGGTTCCACCGGTTCAGTTCCATGGGATGAAAAGGATAATGATGTAGATGATGAAGATGAAGATGAATTAAGTGAGTCTCAGCACGTAGCAATACAGGACAGTTTTCCATTTCTTAATATCAATGGTTAGTATATTATTCTGACATATGGTTAATGAAATTGAATTTAAATCTATATTTTAAAATACTGTTTTCTTTTTATTAATGTTGCACTAAACATTTTGACAAATGCTTTCTCAAAAGTTGATCTCTAGATGCAAGTAAATTAGCATGCAACATGCTACAGAGATATAACTTGTATTTAGCACAAATGATGATCTCCTTGGTAAATATTTTCATCCTGCTTATTGTGTATCTGTTAGATATTTAATAATAAATGCAGGTAAGTGTATGTACTTATTGAGATATTTTTTTGCATTTCTGCAATCATTTAATCTGATATTAAGTGGAATTCAGAATCTTAATTGTTGACTTGATATCTTCCAAAATGTGTGGGGCATAATCCTGCTTTTATTTGCTTCGTTTCTGTTTGATATAAGACAGGTCAGCCTTCAAAACAAAGGGCACTCCCTTGCTGCTGAGAATTTATTTAATTGGGTTCCTGAGGATTATGACACCAAAGCTTTAGAGTTAATGAAAGGGTGGAATAAGTTATGGCAATGGTGTCTGCACTGCAGGAATCTGAACAACTGCTAGATGGCAACAGATACAGAAATATAAAATCTTTTGCTGTTTTTTGCTAGTTGTCCAGATAACCCTAGATAAGTTTATGCATGCCATATGGTGTCCACCTCTGCTATTTGAAACAGGATAAGACTAGACCACAGCAGGATGTTTCTATGGAGGCATACTGTCCTTCCCACATACACATTATGGACTGTACTCTTAGAGGAAGATAAATTCCCACAGCATAGCAGGGACAGACACGCCTTCCTGGCAAAGACAATATATAACAGCTTTAAAAGTCTTGGAATTCCCTGGAGCTAAATTCAGGTTTTTCAGGTTTTAATGCATCGTTGGTTCAACAAATATCTCTGCGTTAATTTTCTAGACTTAGAACTTGTTTGAAATTACATTTTGATGGTGCTATGTAGTTTTTTTTTAAAAAAAGTTTTCTTACTCTACAAGTGACACATTTTTTTTTCCACACGCTTTGCATCTAAAGCTTTCTTTTCTCTTTTGATCGTCTCTTTCAGTCTAGTAGCAACCCTGCGCTATGCTGTAGAAGGTTTTATAGGTGGTGACCACCAGCACCATAAATTGTACCTGGAAGCCTACTGGGAGCCAGTGCAGCCCATGGGGCAGTGGTGTTACATAGGTATAATGAGAAACACCCAAACCTGCCTTCACGGCTGCATTTTGGATCAGCTGCAGCTTCCAAATGCTCTTCAAGAGTAGCTCCCTGTAGATTGTGATACAGTAATTCAAACAGGAGGTGATTAAAGCTTGATTTAGGGTTGATGAGTAAGCATAGGTTGTAGATGGCTGCAGAGAGGCTGATGCACACACCTCCCAAATCCCAACTGTGCATTATTTGGAGGTGTGGGTCCTGTATGCTGATTGGTTGATACAATTTCCTGTTCTGTGCTTTGCTGTTTGAGTGCCCCCACCCCCAGCCAGAATGTTAAATTTGCAGATGTATAAATGCAACAGCTGTGCAACCATCTCCAAACTACAGGCACATACAGTACCTTACCTGACATGCAGTGACAGAGAAGTCTAATCCAGGCTCTAGGCATGAGTCACCATGACTAAGGCCTCCCAGTTCAGGAATGGGTACAATTGGTGCATAAGGCAAACCTGTGCAAAATGTTTTGGCCACAGTTGCCACAGCTTTTTGAGCAGGAGCAAAGTTGTGGTAGACTGCATTCCAACTCTGCATACCAGCTCTGGCAGAGGAAGTCTATTCCCATGCTGAGCTAAAGCTGGAAGAATCCCAGAACCAGAAGGCCTTAAAACCTACAGTGACTCCGCCTGGCCAAGGTTGAGTTGAAACGTGTTCTGCCATTCAAACCCTCACAATTTCCAGGTGCCAGGAAGACTTAAGGCCATCACTTGGTTGGTTCAGAGAAGAGATGCAGAACTTGGTATTATGGGCATATTTGTGAATCCCCACTCCATAGTGTTGGAAAACCTTATCCAATAGCTTCAGGTTGATGTTAAATTGCAATGGGAAAAGGTTTGAGGGACCCACAAAGCAGCTCAATAGCCACGATGATTAGAAATATATAGTTATGTTTGGCTTTAGAACTGTCATCTTTCACTTGGCTAACAATTCTGGGAATTATAGACCAAAAGTGTTAGATTGTGCTAATAAAAGACTTACTAGAAGAAAAGAATTGAAGCTTTTGATTTAGATTATCACGTTAGATGAAAGGAGAGGTGAAATTCCAATCGTACAAGGTTAATTGCACTGACTTGCATAAAGAAGTCTAATGATACCTGCTTGTCTGATATGAAAATAATTGAATCTATTTATAAACGTTAGGAAGCAGTGGGGATTACATAATTACATTTCATTTATTTTACTTAGATTCCCCAATGGCTCCCGCCAGTGCAGAGGCATGTAGCCCTGAAGCTGTGTGGCCAAAGAATGAACCTGAAGATATGGAGATGCCAATGCCTCCTGCCTTGCCAGCTCTACAGCATGATATGTACAGCTCTCCTGAACTTTGGATTAGCTCTCTTCCTAGTAAGTTTTTTTGGTCCAGGAGCCACTAGAATAAATAGAGGACAAATCATGCACTCTTTTGTTTGGAAAGTCTAGAGTCCCACCTCTAATAAATAAGCTGCATTTCTGGAAGGCTTGTGGAACAAATACAAACATTCTTCTGCAGTTAGGGAAAGAAATAATTCTGATTTAAAATAGGCATTAGCTGGTAAAAGAAACCTGCAGGCGATTCTTGACCTATGGCCACAATTAAAACTGGAATTTGGTCATAAGTTCTTGCAGTTATTAAGTAAGATGCCCATGTGACCACTTTGGTGCATGACCATCATATTGGCACTTGCAGTTGCAATCATTAAACTGAGTTTGAGGAGGCCTCAGGTGGGGAAAGTCTTGTGAGATCCAGTGTAGGGCATGGACAAGTTGGGAGGATGCTACAGTGTGGCAAAAAGCCACAGCCTGGCGCTGCGATGTGGCCTTTCTCAGTAGAAGCATGGGGCCTAAGCCTGAAATAGAACATTAGGTTCCCTTAGAGTCTCAACCATCTGCCACTGCCCAGGGTTAAATGTCAGCCATAGTGTTGTCACTGTCACTCAAAAACGCCACTTCACACTGTTCTCCAAGGCACAAAAGTTTTGGGAAGCAACATAATTGCCACTACTGCCCAGTGTTCCTAGCAATGTGCTGCAGACTGCTTGCTTTGAGAAATGTGTGTCCTGCTGTTGAGAGGCTCATGCAGTTTATCCAAGCCAGCTCTCAATTGCACCAGGCCTTCTTTCCTGAAGTCTCCTTAGAGCTAGTGGGGCTTCAGAAGCCTTCTGAAACTTTGGATAGACTGCACAGACCCCTCAACAGCAAAAGAAAAACCTTGCCTTACCTTGCTAAAGGTAAGGAAAATGTGGCATTTCCTCAGCAGCACTGGGCAGCAGCGGCAATTGTGCCATTCCCCAAGGTTCACACACCTTGGAGAATGGCACAGTTTCCCTCACTCTGCATTGCTTACCAATAGGCGTTTTTGTCCTGCTATTGAGAGGCCCACATGGCCTATCTGACAGTTCAGAATTGCCTTCACGGCAGTTCTGGGAAAGGCCTCTTGTGACTGGGAGCCTTAGCCTCTCAACAGCGGGAGAAAAACATCTGAAGATGGCAGATTTTTGGAAGTGCTGGAAAATGGGGGAAATCATACAATTCCCTAAGGTGTGCTTGCCTTGGAGAATGATGACATCAAGGCTTGGGGCAGTGGCAGCTGGCTGAAATTGTTAAAGGCCCTGGGTCAATATTTCAGATGCAAGCAAGGAGGACATAGACAGGTGGGACAGAATTGCAGCACCCCCAGGGTCTCAAGACCTGCATCACCAACACCCAAATTTTTATCATCTCATTGGACAGGTGGGGCAAGCCTAGCTCAGTGCGATCATAATTTCAAACAGGTGCTGAACAAATGTTTGTTAAGCAAGGACTACGTATTGTTGAAAACTGTTGAACTGTTGGTTAATGATGTTTGGGTAAGTCATTGATGGCGAACCTTTTTGTTGTGCTGTGCTGAAAGCGCGTGTGCGTGCTGGCACCTACAATGCAATGCACCCCGCCCCACTGTGCATGCACATGCAACCCCCCCACCCCTTTACCTGCACTGCACATGTGTGTGCCTCCCAGCTGATTTTCAGCCTGTTTGAGGCCTTTTTTGCCCTCCCGGAGGCTCGAGGGAAGCCTCTGCAGCCTTGGGAAGCCAAAAAGTGGGCCTTCCGGAAATATTGGAAGTGCCCATTTTCAGCCTCTGGAGCCGGGGGGAGGCCGTTTTCATCCTACCAGGGGCTCGAGGGAAATACCAGAAGTGTTGAAATGGGCCCTTTTTTCAGCCTCCAAAGGCTGCAGAGGCTTCCTTTGAGCCCCCAGGAGGGTGAAAATGACCTCCTCGAGCTCCAGAAGTCCTCTAGAGGCTGAAAATGGGCACTTCCGGTATTTCTAGAAAGCCCGCTTTTCAGCCTCCCAAGGCTGCAGAGGCTTCCCTCAAGCCTCCGGGAGGGCAAAAAAGGCCTCAGACAGGCTAAAAATCAACTGGGAGGCACACACATGTGCAGTGCAGGTAAGATTGGCTGGGGCTCACATGCCCGCACAAATAGCTATGCATGCCATCACGGGGGGTAGGTTATCATTAATTGGGTAGCCATTGTGCATAACAAGTGTTTAGATTGTTGCTATGGGTAAGCACTGGATTCATATAATGGCAGGTCTTTTAACAGTAACTGCTTTATTTTATAATCAGTCTGACTCCATGATTTGTTAAGAGTTTTTTTTTTTTGGTAATAATCGCAAATTATATCTTTTGTTTCCTAATACCTGTAGTCTGACCTATTTTGTGTTGATTTTATTCAGTTAGATATGGTGCAGTGCAATTATGGTTCCCGTTGTACTGCCTGATTCATTAATAATATATTTTTCTTAAGTGACAGATCTTGAAATCAAGTTCGAATATCGTGGCAAGGAGTTTGGGCAGACAATGACTGTGAGCAACCCTCAAGGCTGCAGACTTTTCTATGGAGAATTAGGTCCTATGCCAGATCAAGAAGAACTCTTTGGGCCTATTAATTTGGAGCAAGTCAAGTTTCCAGGGCCTGAATCCATCACGAATGAAAAACAAAAGCTGTTCACCAGTCGACTGCTTGATGTAATGGACAGAGGGCTAATACTGGAAGTCAGTGGTCATGCTATCTATGCTATCAGGCTTTGCCAGTGCAAAGTATATTGGTCTGGACCATGTGCACCTTCCTCTACCACACCAAACTTAATTGAAAGACAGAAGAGAGTTAAGCTCTTCTGTTTGGAAACATTTCTAAGTGGTGAGTAGCTCCACCTTTGAATCACTATTACTGAATAACTAGTAGTACTATTTGTTTTAACCTTGTAATCTTGTATGGATTAATATCATAAATCATAGCCCAGCTATGACTGCATCCCTGTTAGCATTACAGTGGATACAGGTGTTTTTGAAGTTAGTCCCTGCTGGGTCTAGAGTATGTAGCTTATGTTTTCTGTACGCCAGAAAATGTGAATGAATACGGAACAAGTTTAATGTACTCCATTAAAGCAAAGGTTTGTTTCTTTTTGGCCCAAATGGGTTTCTGGTGCCATTCATTCTGTACATCTTCACGTTGTTGAAAGTTATGAGTATTTAACTGAAAGCAAATACCATTGGGATCAATTGATACAATGGGAAGGCAAGGATAGGATAATTGCTTCAAGTAATTCTTCAAACATGTCATTTTCAAATACATGTATATCTTATTGGACATAACTAATTTCTTCTTTTATCATAATCATGTAATTTATTACATACTGTGTCTCTCTTTTTCTCATTTTTCTTCTAAATTTAGAGTTAATTGCCCATCAGAAAGGACAGATCAGTAAACAGCCACCATATGAGATCTACTTTTGTTTTGGAGAGGAATGGCCAGATGGAAAATCAAAAGAGCGAAAGCTGATTGTTGTTCAGGTAAGAAGACAATTTATTGCAAAAATGCTTTATACTATTACTACTCCTTAGTAGAAGACTGTAGTTGCATCTTTCTTTCTTTTTTTTAAAGAAAAACGTTATTAATTTTACCATTAAAAACAACACATCTACAAATTATATACAGAAGAGAAAGCAAACAGGCCTTGGCAGAGGCCAAGAGGGAAAGAGAGAAGGGCAAATGAGGGAGGAGAGGGAAGGGTAAGGGAAGGGGGGGGGATAGAATGGGGAAAACAGTTAAAATAAAACCATATTTTTGTGACTGTCTGTAAGATCCTTTCTTCTTCAAGTATATTGTTAGTGGTACTTTTCATTAACTCTGCTTAGGTAGCCCTTGGCTACAATTTTTCTCAAAGGAGTCTATCTTTGATTTAGCCCGTTGTACCAAGGATTCCAATTGGTATAATAGGTTGAGGATTCTTTATTTTTTAATGATTGGGTTAGTTTTTCCATTTCGGCACATTTTAAAATTTTCTGAATGATCATTTGTTCAGTGGGGATAGAGGGTGATTTCCAGCACTGAGCGAATGCCAGTCTGGCCGCGGTTAGGATATGAATTATAATAAACTTCAATTTTTTGGATACTTGTTTATCAAAAATTCCTAGAAGGAAGGACTCTGGTTTGTACTCAATTTGTTCCTTAGTAATCTCCTCTAGCCAATGCCTAATTTTTTGCCAATGTTTCTGAGTTTCTTTGTATGACCACCACATATGGAAGAAGTTATCTTCTATGTTTTGACATTTCCAACATTTGGGACTAGTGTTGGGGTGCATTTTCGCCAATCTCGAAGGGGACAGGTGTAGTTGCATCTTTCATAGAATAAGTCTTCACCTAGAATGTGTAAAATATGCTTCATGGGTTCTTTTGAATATGACCAGATAAAGGAGTGTAAAGAGCCAGAGCTGCTGGTACACCAGTGCACATGTTTCCTCTCTTATTTTCAGATTTTCTTGTATTGAGCAAGATGAATCAAAGGAAAGACTATTAATGTAATGACACCCCTTCTCAAACCTTGTTTAATACAAGTAAATCTGAGAATGAAAGTTCAGGATCGACACTTCCTTTTCATCTAATACAGTGAGGCTATCGATGTTCTGAACTAAGGAAATGTAATGGACTAAATGAAACCCAATAAAATGAGACTGAAATGGAATGACTGATTTTGGGAGGAATATCTTTCCCATTTAGTATGGTAGCAGTGAACCTGAAGAATCAAGTTTCTAATGTGATTTCTTTTGATCTATCACTATCATTACAGGCAAATAGTCAGAATTTTAATCTTTTGACACCAATTCCTAGTCACTTTGATCAGAACTAGTCTTGTAAGAAATTTCCCAACGATTTAAATGAAAGATTACATTGTATGCCAAAAGTAATTTACAACCTATATAGTCAGTGAATATCTGTGCTATTAACCAATTGCCAAGATAGTAATTCTTTTACCTATGTATAAATGATGATCAAGGAAAGAGTCTTGACATGTTGTGCTAACCATAATGTGCTAACCAGCCATAGTATGATTTGTCTATGCTATACAAACTAAAATACTATGTTTTCTATATTACAGAATATAACTAGAAAACTGTATGAATCTAATGATTGTGATTTACTCAGTTGTGAATCTGGCCATAGGGATGCAGATCTACAGCTCAAGTAATCCCATAGAAATGATCATACACAAACCTGGGAAAAGGTTAAAAAAAAACATTATATGAAGATACCAAAATGGGTCTCACCAATGGAAGCGATATTACACCCAAATATGAGGGATACAAGGAAAATGGTCAGATATGAAGAATTATTAGATAATCAGGGGAATCTAAAAATGATTGATAAATTAAAAGAACAAGATATAATTATAGATTGGTGGTCATACTTACAAATTCAGACAAAATTTAGGAAAGACTTTGAAGGGATAGAAAAGGACTGGACCAAATTTTGACAGGCAAGGAGGTAAAATTTATAACAAGAATGTATAATTATTTGTTTGATGTGGAATTAGAAGAGGAAATAGTAAAGGGATCAATGATTGCCTGAGCAAAAAATGTAGGGCATAATATAAATTTAGAGGATTGCAAAAAAATGTGGATGGATAACTGTAAATTGACATTGTCAGCAGCATTTAAAGAAAATCAATATAAAATCTTTTGTAGATGGCACCTAGCCCCAGCAAGTCTGGCCAAAATGTATCCAAACATCAAAGCAGAATGTTGGAAGTGTAAATGTAAAGAAGGAACGTTCTTCCATATGTGGTGGCAGTGTCCAGAGGTTAAAAAATATTGGATGAGGGTACAAAGATGGTTATTAGAAATTACAGATCACAAATTAGAACTCGAACCAGAAATATTCTTATTAGGAATATTTAAGGGAAAATTGAGCAAGGTCATCCGATACATCATTATACATATCATAACTGTGGCGAGAATAGCCTTCGCGCAGGGATGGAGGAAGGAAAAGATATCATCTGAAGAAGACTTGACACAAGAAATAATGGATTGTGCAGAACTGGATAAATTCACAATGGAATTAAGAAGCAAAGATGATTCAGACTATTACACAGTTTGGGATAGGTAGTACAAATGGGTGGAGAATAGAAATAAGATTTGATGTTTATGTATAAAAAGAGATGTATGTATCAACGACACGAACACTGTTAATGTGAATAGAGATTTGTATTTTTGTTTTTAGAAAATATTTAAAAAAATAATCCTAAAAAAAATGATTATATGATTTTATTTCCATGAAAAACAGAGCTTTTTATTCCTTTTTAGTTTCTATCTGATAGTACTCTATTGCTGTTCTCTTGCTGCTATGCAAAGCACCTTTGCCCGGCTATGCTAGTGCTGGGCAGGCTTAGTTTAAAGATGAAATATAGTGTGAACTGCAGAAATTGCAAACTTGGATTTGCATTAATGAATTAATGGAAATCAATCATGTACCCTAATGTCCTTGGAAACTGTTGTTTTGAAATAGCTAATGGTGTAGAAGTTGCCACATAGTTGTTGGTGCATTTGTTCCTGCCATGGCTTCTCTTCATTGCAGGACTGTTTACTGGTGACATAATCTATAGTAGCTAATGTTTTGGTGGAATACTACGTGTCTGTGAAAATTTCAACCATCCAGGACAGGTTGTTCCAAAGGTGCTTTTTAAAAGGCAACTGACTTTCTTGGTTTGTTCCTTGCTGAACCGAAGAAACTTTTTGGATAAGAACCCAAAACTTTTCAAGGAAATAAAAAATCAAGAAAGTCTAGTTGCCTTTTGAAAAGCACCTTTAGGATAGAACATTACCTTTCTTTTTCCATGTCAGTGCTGGATAGAATGCTGAGAGCTGCTGTCTTTTTTTCTGTCTCTGTCCTGAAGTGTTTTTATGATTTTGATCTCAAAGAAGCAAGTCATATAAACACCTAAGGTATGCTTCTAACTTTGTGAAGCACTGTGAATCCTTTGAAATTGTGCTGGAGTGTAAATGTGATCAATCACAAGAGTACATTTCTCAATAGCCTTCACCAGCTTGAGCATTTGGCTTATTCTAGGTTCTCAGATGAATTTTTAGGAATTGATCATCTTTTATTAGATTAACAGGAACTTTCTTTTCAAACAGGTAATTCCAGTTGTAGCACGGATGATCTATGAAATGTTCTCTGGTGACTTCACCCGCTCCTTTGACAGTGGCAGTGTGCGTCTACAGATCTCTATCCCGGATATCAAGGATAACATTGTTGCCCAGCTGAAGCAACTCTACCGTCTGCTGCAGAATCACCAAGAAGGTTGGCCAGTGCAGCCACCAAATATGCAGATGACGCCACCCCTCACAGCACAGTGATGACATGGTGTTGGATAACCAAGCAATTGTCTGGATTCTTCAATTCTAGATTGAAATTAATTGAAACAAGAACACTTTTAAATATCTCTTCAATATGTGACATTTTAATAAGGAATGTTGATATACAACTTAATCTGTCTTAAATAATTTAGCAAAGGTTGATCTAGTTAAATACACGTAGACATGCATATTACTCTAGAATTGTTTTCACTTTTATAAATGTAACAATATAAATGTAAAGCTTTAAACTTTTCCTTGCTTACATGTAACGCTGTGGTGCTTTTTATAAAAAAGTCTTTTTAATTACTAATTTCACTCCTGCTTTATTCTTAAAGTATTTTTATAACACAGTTTAAATGCATTCTGTTGATTCATTGATGACTTTAAAAAAAAATACTCCTGTTGCAGCTGCTACATGTGAAATATCTAAGCAGTACAAACTAAATGTTTCAAAACAGTTACCTGATAATTAGCAGTAGGCAATTTTATTCTATTAACGATTGTTGTTTTATTAAGTTTTATATACGTGAGAAAATGCACAAATTTTAAGCTGGAAAGCTTAGGATATTTTAAAATTAAAGTTTAATGTTTAAAATATAAAACCAATTTAAAAAGATAATGAAGACTTAATAATAGATATTAAGTTTGGTAAAATAGAAGCCCTTTTCATGTTTTTCTGTATTGAATGCTGTAGCCCAGGGGTGTCAAACTCATGACCCACGGGCTGGATGCGTCATGTGCTGGCTCCGCCCCTGCCCAGTTTAGCGAAGGGAAAAAAAGTCCTGATACGTCACGTGATGACACCTTGATGACCCGGGTTTGATACCCCTGCTGTAGTCCAACATGTAACCTACTTGTACAGTGTGAAAAAAGTTGTTCCAATGTAATCACATCGGTAGAAGATACAAGACAGCATGTGTAGGAAGGTTTTTTTTAATGAATGTTGCCAATATGTGAACACACAAAATGAATATTGTAACAAAAGCTAATTCAGTCTGTTGTAAATATGGCGATTTTAGGACTTCCAGAGAAAAAATGGTGAACCGAAGACCATGGCAGAATGAAGAGCCAAAAAGTAAACAGGCACTTTATATTTTCTCTCTGGATAAAGAGAGGACTTGAAATTGGCTTTTAATTTCTCATGACAGCTGTTCCTGATGAACAGACTGCAAGACAGTATGTTTTGCAGGCTCAAGAGTTCTGGGAGATGAGGGAAAGCTATCTTTGATCACATCATAGTTGACACCTATAAAGGGCACTCTTCTTTTTCAAATCACTTTAGCAAATTGTTAACTATTTTACTGTTATTAGGAACCTTTGGATTGACATGTTTTATAACACCAAGTTATTTTGCTTCAATTCTTAGCAAAATAGTTTTAAATACAAGTTTAAGGACTTTTTAAATTGAATAGCAAAAGGGTGATTAGAATGCTGATTTTGGAAAGATACAAATGAAAGATGAATTCAAAATAAAATTTTGGATTTATAATAATTCTTCCCATGGAAAAATAAATACTTAAAAAATGGGATGAAACTTTGAAGGTTGGACATTAGAAATCAGAAAGAATTAAATATTACAATTAAATGTCATTAAGTTTGGCTTACTAACACAGAACAGAGCAAAATAGTTTAACATTGGGCATATTGAAGGGTACTTTTGAACAATAGACCAAAAAATAAATTTTAAAAGAATCTGGTATTATAGATAGACTGTGTTTGAAAGAGGTTATGGTAGAGGAATAAGTTTTATTGGACAAGACTGAGACTGATCTGAAAGATTTAAAAATGATAGGCTACAACAATGACACGGAAAAAATATCCTATACTGGACATAGAAAATCAGATGATATTTTACTAATTTAAAGGGATACAGAAATAACAAGCCAAAAAGTGGCCTGGATAATTATCCTATACTGTATTTACAAAAGAGACTTGTTAAAGCTTTGAAAAAATTTGTGATAAGGGACAATAAAGGAGATCAAGTTCTAGGACATTATTATAAGGGATGAAAGATCAAGATTGTTGAGTAAACATTGGTTAGAATAGATACCAGAGGTGGTATTCAGCAGGTTCTGACCAGTTCTGGAGAACTGGTAGCGGAAATTTTGACTAGTTCAGAGAACCAGCAAATATTTGGCTGGAGATTTTACAGTGTCCTTCCCCTGCCACACTCACCAAGCCACGCCCACAGAACCAGTAGTAAAAAGTTTTGAATTCCACCCATATACATTGTTATATCTGGTAACCTTTATGCAGACCAGGGCTGAATGGCAAGATTTTAAGAATCTCTTAACCCTAAGAGAAGAAATAACGAGACAAGAGTTCATGTGTTGTTTTTAAAGAAAGGGTTGATTTGTTACTTACATTGTTTAGCTTGTAATTAAAGGGAAAGTCATTTCTTTATATGTTTTTCTTTACTATAGTTTTATTTTTTTTCTTTTATGCACTTTGGTTTTTTGTATTAATTTTTATCTTTTTAATTGTAATGCTTAATTACAATAAAATATGGTAATTTTAAAATTGTAATTGTAGTTTAATTGTAGACTATGATGGAAAATATGTTTTCATATCACACATCATTGTGTTATCTTAGCATCAAGCACATCTGGCATTGTGCTTTCTACTAAGTGTTTCATTTGGAACTTCTTTTTTTGAAAATCATTTGTATATTAAAATGTTTTCATAGTGCTTTTTTTCTACAATAAATGGAATAGTTGGAATATTGTCTATTGTCTTACTACATAGCCTTGTAAAATGGCCTACTTTACACAAGAGCATTAGTTATAGCATACATGAAAATGTGCACTTTTTTTGATACCTACTTCCAACTTTTTCATGAAGCCAGTTTGTGAATGGCTTCAAGTAAAAACCAAATGCAGATCAAGTGAACTACCATTATGAGCTTACCACTCTTTCTCCTCTTGTTTACTAAATAGTGTAGATATTAGAGCTACAAGCTGCCAAGAAACATAACCAGATTAGATGGTGGACAAGAGTTAAACAGTTTAAACTCTTTATAGCTAGTTGGCATCTGGATTTTGCCAGCCCAGATCTAGTAGCTATAATAGTTGTGAAGTCAACTTTTCTGAAATGCTCAAATTTTCAATATTCAAAGTTTCAGAAATGCTCAAATTCTCAATGCTCAGAAGTTTCAGAAATGCTCAAATTCATTAGTTCTTTTGCCTCTTCAAAGTTACAACATGGTTCAGACAACCATTTGTCTGAAATGGCATGCTTGAGCAGGAGGTTGGATTAGGAGACATCCAAAGTCCCTTCCAACTCTGATACTCTGTTATTTCCTCCTCATATTAGAATTAGAATTCTTTATTGGCCAAGTGTGATTAGACACGCAAGGAATTTGTCTCCATTGCATAAGCTGTCAGTATAACAATAGTGATAGATCATTGCCATAGTCACTATAAAAATACATCCATCATAAAACATTAAATACAACACTTAGTGATAGTCCTGGATACTAAATAAGCAACATAAATCACACTTGGATACTATGTAAACAATATAGATTGTAAGATACAAGCAACAAAGTTATAGTCATAAGATACACCCTTTTTAATAAGCAAAGCAATAAACCACAATTTCAAGACATTTATTTATTTATTTGATTTGTCAATCGCTTACAAGATAATAGGTATAAGTATAAACATGAGAAAGAGTATAGGAAATAGGTACGAATAAATAGGGACAATAGGAGAGGGATGGTAGGCATGATGGTGCACTTATGCATGCCCCTTACAGACCTCTTAGGAATGGGGTGAGGTCAATAGTGTTTAGATTGAGGTTGAAGGAGTGGGGGTTAGAGGATGTAACAACAGAGTCAGGTAGTGCATTCCAGGCATTGACTACTCTGTTGCTGAAATCGTACTTTCTGCAATCAAGTTTGGAGCGGTTTACATTGAGTTTGTATCTGTTGTATGCTCTTGTATTGTGGTTGAAGCTGAAGTAGTTATTGACTGGTGCAACATTGTAGCAGATAATTTGTGCGCTACTCTTAAGTCTAACCATAGGCGGCATGGTTCAAGGTTGTCCAAGCCCAAAATCTCAAACCTGGTGATATAGGGTATTCTGTTGCGAGCAGAGGAGTGTAGTACTCTTCTCGTGAAATACTTCTGGACTCGCTTGATTGTATTAATGTCTGATAAGCAGTGCAATTCCAGACTGATGAGCTGTATTCAAGTATTGGTCTGGCAAAAGTTTTGTATGCTCTAGTTAGCAATTTGATATTTCTGGAGGAGAAGCTTTGTAAGATTAGATTTCCAACTCTTAATGCCTTTTTTGGCAATGCTGTTACAGTGAGCTCTGGCGCTTAGGTCATTTGATATGAGAACTCCAAGGTCCTTGACAGAGTAAGGATCGTCAATGAGGTCATATCCGCTTAGTTTGTATTTGGTGTACTGATTTTTTTTTTTTACTTGTCAAGCATCAGCCCTAGAGGGTGGGAAGCGAGCTACAAAAAGGCCAAAAAAGATTAATGATAGAATGGCATGAAACTGAGACACAAATGTATTATGTACGGGCAGGGTTAGAAACACGATAGCGCCGCGTGCGTGTCATCCTGACACAATCCGTTTGCTGTGGATACCTGTCCTACATCTGTTTCTGTAGAGCCCGTGGCTGCTATTCCAGGCAAGTCAAGTACAAATCAGGGCAAAATCAGCCGTTGGCGCAACACTTGTCACTGGCGCTACAGACGTTAGCTTTAGTGGGGGACGAAATCCGCTCCTCCCTTCTCCCTTCTCTCCCGAGTTTAGTACATTTTAGCGGGCAACCTTTGGTCGCCGGCCTCGCTCTTCGCTTCCGCATTTTCTCCTGTCTCTTTTTGGCTCTCGGCAGTGAGAGCCAGCCTTTTCCTTCCGGTTTCTAGCTCCACATTGGTTGCCTTCGCTCGAGATATAGGAAGCGGAAATGTAATTCACTCGTGAATGGAAGCGAGTTGGTTTGTTTCGGTGGGGCCGAGACTCGCGGAGGTTAGTGGGATCTAATTAGAGGGAGTGAGGTCGGTTTCCTAATGTCGCTTGGCGATGTCCCCCTAAATGCTTGCGCTGCTCTGAAACTACAACCTACTTGCGTTGTAGTCAGAGAGCATCTCTGCAGGGCACAAATGCAAAACGTGTTGCTCAATAAAATCATGAAAATAGCGCGTAACGAACAGGTCACATTTGTGAGTTTGGTTTCTCCAAACTTTAAAACAAGATTGATCTTTAGGCAGACCAACCATTTAGAAATACACACAAGTAACCATTATTTAGATGGCAATCTTTACGTCCAGGGCGAGTGACGGGGAGATGTGGAATACATGTAAGATAACTTTGGTCTTGAGGCACTTATTTCAAGATTCGGGGTTATGTTCTGCTGCTTGATCTTTATGGATCAGAGCCTGCTGAAACATAAAATGGGACCAGATGCTAAGAAATGCAGGGGAAGTCACCACCTCGGCTCGGTTGGAATTAATGTGATTGAACAACCGATCTTTTGCAAATTGTGAGATGTACAACTCATGAGCAAAGTGGATCTTTTGTTATTTAAACAAAATATTTTGCTACTGGTATTGCTTGAATTTCTGATCCCATTTTGTAGCAACAGTATCTCCACCACTGCCTCTCTTACTTCTGTATTGTGTGGTATGTATAATGGAATGAATTGGAACCAATGGTCCTTTCAGTGTTTCTGAACTACATATTTTCATTTTGCCCATAATAACAGAGGCTGGGAGTTATAACTCTGTAGCATCTGAATGGGCACAGTTCCTTTACTCCCAATTTATTCTTTCCATCAAGGGGGAAAATGGGCTTTTTCATAATCTTCATTTTAACCAAATCAGTGGTGTACATAATGGGGATATATAATTAAAAAATATTAACTGCATGAACTGTTACTCATGCAGGTTTATATGGTACTATTTAGCAATACAGGAATATATGAGAGAATTATAACCTAAACAATTTAAACAAAGATCAACCGACTAATATATGTCTCAATGTAAATTGAGAGGAAGAGACATTTTGATGTAGAAGCTGTAAGTGGTAGTCCTGCCAGGAGGCTGTAAATGCTAGTCACGCCTTAGGCAGAAACATAGCTGTGTGACTGAGCCAGTCATAGCCTCTCAACTTTAAGAAGCAAGCAGTAGCAAACCACTTTCAACAAGAAATCTACAAGGGCTTCTCCAAGCAGTTGCCAGGAATCAACAATTACCTGAAGGCAGAAATAAAAAATAGAGAAGCTGATTAAACAATCAACTAGCTGCGCAGAGAGCATTCCAGCACCTTCTCTTGAACAGAGAAGCATTAAAGAGAAGCACTTCATTAATTCTTACATGCTTTATATTTACAGTAACCAGTTTAGTTTATGATTTTTGCTGTTGCAAGGCTATTCATTGGTTAGTGTGGAAAAAAAATCCACCCAGTTATTTTGATTTGAATGAGGTATCATCTATAGATACAATATGAAGCTTATCTAGACTGCAGTAAAGGCTGAGCATCCATTCTCTTCTGAGAATTGTTCTGTTTTCTTTTCTGAACTTGGTATGTATAATTCTGTATTACAGTTTTGTTTCAGGATTAATTACATGTATGTGAAACTTTCCATTGCTCCTTCCCCTCACATATCTTCCTCTTATTAGTTCTTTCAGTTTAATTTATTGACTCATATATAAAAATGAAACTATATTGATTATTTTTGTTACATCACTATGAATTAATGTTTTACTATTTCCCAAGGCCTGGCTGAAGAAGCAGATGTCTAAAGCCAGTGGACAATTAAGTGTTTCAGGAGTTCTTTAGTAGAACTCTCTCTCTAATGAATGAGCTATGAATGGCGGAACAATTGGCACAACTGCTCATTAAGGCAGCTCAACATCATCTTAGAACTGGCAAGAAGAAAGGATTATCATCTTCAGCCTCCTTGAATGTAGCTGGGGAGGTACTGGCAGTAGCAGTTGGTTTGAAACCAGCTTTTCTGTATGATTACAATTCTGCTGGGACTTCTCAGATCCTGGACTACGTTCAACATCTTCAAACTACTCTTCAACTTACATGTCGGTTGCATATTCTTAATATAGCTGAAAATGTTCTAATAATCAACTTGGAACTGATGTGTTTGTGTCTGGAATCAGTCCTGCTTAAGAATAATGTCATCTTCATGGACATTTCTGCTTTTAGACCATGTCCTACCTTTTCTAACCCAGAAAATGTGAACCTTATAAAAAGCCATCTGTCAGAGATATTGAATCATATTAAAGCATTAACAGAAGATACATCCCAGACAATATCTTCAAGTGAAATCTTTTCGACTGAATGGAATCTCTGCACTCTGTTTGGTGTATTGCTAGGGTATCCAGCATCCTATAATTTTCCTACTCAGAAGAGTTCTGATAATTGTCTTACACTAATTCCACTGAGAGTATTTACTGTTCAAGCCACATTTTGTATGGTAAACAGTGATTTCAGAGTTCGGTTTTATTCTTTTAGCATCCCAGAACTCTTGTATCCAGACATGAAAACGAACCTCAGCGCATGGTGTGAAAAACTCAAGGATGCTTTTAAAGCTCAGAAAGAATTTGCTGATTTCTGCATTGCAAGTGAGGTGGTTGCTCTATCAGCAGTGGCCTTGTAAATATAAATCTCAGACAGATAACAGTGCATCTCCACAGTATTCTACTGTCTTATTTAAAAGCTTCAGAATGGGCAGTTTGGAAGCATAGTTCAAGCAATTATGTCAGTATTTTAAACAAATATGCAGTTTTCCTTTCAGCAGCATTCTGGATATCTATCCTTCATACTTAAGTTTCCAAGAATCTATTTCAGGCTAGCAAAATATTATTAACTGATCTATTCCAAATTCCAGGCAAAAAGAATTCAGTGCTTTTCTCCAGCTACAATAGGCAATGATTTCAATTCCAGTATGGTCAAGTAATACTTAAGTGAATTGAGGAACTTATGATTTTTGAAACTGTAGAAATGATTATTGTGTCAGTGGTTATAGTGATCAATGATATATATGGATAGGCATACAAGTAATACAATATGGATGGGCATACAAACAATATTTGTGTTTTGGTTTTAATAATAATTCAAAAACTAAGCAATATACAAAATCAAGCAGATAAACTCTTTCAATCCAATATGTAATTCTTAATTTTACAAGACATTTTAAAATTGAAATACTAGCCATTTGGGATAATTTAGTCTGCTATAGTGCAATCAATAATAGGCAAATAAGGCAAGATATGTTCAAGGTATAAAGTTACTTAAATAAGATACCAGAGCTGTTACCATGATTACCATTATGATAGGAATCCAATGATCATGATTTCTCTGAAAAAAAATGTTTTGAGATAATAAATTGATTATAAATAAAGTACACAGTCAGAAAACATTTACTCCTAGTCATGTAGTGACACTGCTATTGTGCTTTCACACTGTTATTTTACTCCAGATAAACTTCTATCTCTATTTGATTAAAATATATGTATCGGAATATATGTATGTAAAATAGTTTTTTTCCCCTCTACAATGGCAAGAAAAAATAAAACTATACAGTAGAATTGAAGTTGAAGATAGATGAATTTTAACTCAATGTTATTCAGTGTGTTTTGGTTAAAAGATTATCTTAAAAGCTACATTTCATAGACATGCTGCAGAGACATAAGGTGAATCTTTTGTACATGGTTCTTAAGAAAATTACAAGTGTATAAAGGGACTTTATTTATTAATCACATTTCTACACCACTCCTCTCACCTAAGTGACTCTGGACAGGTTATAATAAACATACATGTCTAATTTAAAAATACCCAGTTTGTATATCCCAGGCTTTCTATGAAGTCTGGCACCCAATCTTTTTAATAATAATGTAACTTCACTATCTTTATTTTTGTTGCATTTATACAAATTTTTATTTTTGAAACATCCAAGTTCAAATCCATGAGCAGGGGACCAAAACAAGGAAGGTGAACTATAACAACTTCACCAACCAATAATTATTTGGATTGGTTAGGATTTCAACTTCTAGATATGCTAACTACTGAGATAAATTGGTGGATTTATGAGAATTCTGGGTATTTGAATCCCAATTTCTGTAGAATGCTGAGTTGATTGGGGAAATCTACCATATCTTTCATGATTAAGGTTGTAAGATTAAGTGGCACAAATGGAAGTTCAAAGCCTCTTACCTGGGCTGGCTTGCTTTGAGAGTGCTTGAGTTCATCATGGAAATGCTGTAAATTGGTAAGGCAACTGTAATACTGATTGTTCAGGATTTCTAGTTTATGATAGAGATCAGTACACTGGACAAAAAAACAAAAACTTGCTTAGAACTGGGGAAGAAGCTTTTCTTTGCGTCAAAGTTAGCTGCAATTATAAAAGTCATTAAGCTGATGGCATTTTCTGTGAGGGTTTTAATGACACAGTCACTACTGTGAGGCATATATATATATATATTACAGAATTGTAATTTTGAGGCATTTCACTGGGAAACACACACACACAAAAACAGAATTGTCCATATATTTTGGAATTGGGAGGAGCAACAAGCAGTGAAGTTAAGAAACATTGGGGACGATTTGAAAATAAAATGGAAACTAGCATGGAAGACCTTAAACAAGACGGTGTCACAGATCCATGTAAGCATCCACCCCTAATAGCAAAAGGAATAAAGGGATTGGGGATGTTAAATCCTTTCTTAATTTTTGTTTAAATTTAAGACACTAGTTTAATTAGAGAACAGCAATTGAGAAAAATGTGACAACAGCAAAAGGTCTTATCAATACTGTTTATATTGTATGTCATTCTATGCCAATGGTTCCTCAGCTACTTTGAAAAGTTGATTTATTATGATAAATTGCTTGGATTTTAACTGAATCATGGAAAGCTAAAAAGTCTACAAGCTGCTGGACAGATAATGAAAGACAGGATATTTACATACCATCCTCATCTGTATATAACTAATTACGTGCCAAAACACCTCATGGGTGAAAAATGGTATTGAGTGAAATTTTATTTTAGGAAAACAATTCATTTTATCAGTTCATCTAAGTAAGAATGGATGAAAAGCGGAATAAATGTTTGGCAGAACACTAGTTCTTTTTATGACATACATGCTAATTTTCTTGCCTTTGTTCCTAACTGATGGAATAATACCAAGTACAAATTTTGTTTACCAAAATAACTGAAATAATATGGGCTTAATTCTCACATTTCATTTGTAATAAAGGAAAACATTAGCTGTTTTGTTAACATATACTAAAACTGAGTTGATCTATTAATGACTGGGGATGAGAAATCCAATATTGGATCTAGATCAATCCCTCTGTTCCATGTCTTTCTATATAATGGGATTAAAGGTACATTATCATAGTACAGTAATTATCAGCCTTTTCATACACAATAGACATCAACTGAAAGAGAATCTGAATTTACTATCAGTGATAAGCAATTGGACATATATTTAATGTAAGAGAAATTTGAAATAATGCATGTAAGAGTCAAATGCAATGATGAGATACGAACTAATAATACAAAGTGTTGATAGTTTGTTCCATTATAAGATATTTACAAATAACAGCCTCCTAATGAGATCCTTTAATCTTTAATGTTATTAGCTTTAATCTTACTGCTTGAATCACCTCTTCACCTCTTTTTCCTTAGCTTCAAGCTGGAATGTCCTTTTTTGCAATTCTCTCAGGCTGCTCTCTTTCTCTCCTTGATCCTCTGATTGAACATTCTGCTTACTTGTCACCCAACTGAGGACTTCATTGGGCACTGTGACAATCTGCTCTATAAAAACGATATTAGAAACACATTCTTGGATTCCTATGATACTGCAGGATGTTTGCCTTGTCCAATAAATGCATGAATTAAAACCTGTACTTTGTGGGTTGTCATAAATATGGTAAAATAGGCTACATCTTTTTTGAAAGCTGTGATGTAATTATACAGGTATTACATTGTCAATCCACAGGAAAGCATACAAGCTGAGAAAGTTGGGTGGAAATGAAGGACTAAGGTTGTAGCTTTAAATTATAAATGAGCATAAAGGTAAGATATTAGAATGATCTTCAATGTGTTAGTCTCATGGGTACTAACTAGATAACAGTTCCCATATATCCAGCTAGTATGAAAGGATTAATACAATTTACAAAAATCTCAGATACTTCAAGACAATTGATTTCAATAAACTTAGAGATGTAAAGGATTCCAGGATAAGAATACACAAAGGGAAAACTACCCAAGAAGCTTGGGCAACTTTGAAGATTAGATTATAAAAACCCAGTCTAGCTCTATTCTAATGAATAAAAATAGATCTTAAAAAAACCCCACACCCCAGCATGGTTTCACAAAGAACTCTGATAAATTAAAAGTTGAAATAGGACAAGTATAAAAAGTGAAAAGAGGGGCACATAACTAAGGCAGAACATTAGGAAATAGCTTGAATCTACAAAGATGAAGTCAGGACTTAAATTAAGGTTTGCAACAAAAGTAAACAACAACAAAGCTTTCATTGATGTAAAAGACAAATTGAAGGAAATGATTGGTCCATTAATGGGAGAAAATGGCAAGAAGGTGACAAGCAGCAGGGAGAAAGAACTATTTAATTCAATTTTTGCACCTGTCTTTATACAAATGGAAAAACAGTCCAATTTATTAAAAAAAATACTGTAAATTAGAATTGCAAGTCAAAATAAATAAACAAGAAAATGGTAAAAGAACATCTATCCACTCTAGACAAGTTCAAATCACCAGGACCAGGTAGTTTACATCCCAAGGTTCTTAAAGAATTGGCAGATGTGATCGCAAAACCACTGAACCATATCTTTAAAAGATCCTGGAGCACCAGGGAACTTCCAGATGATTGGAAAAGGGATGAGGTAGTTCCCATCTTTAAAAAGAGGGAAAAATGGAGAACAGAACTCTTTATTGGCCAAGTATGATTGGACACACAAGGAATATGTCTTCAGTGCATAAGCTCTCAGTGTACATAAAAGATATAAGTGATAAATCATGATCACAGTCATTATAAATACATTCATTATAAGTCTAGCAATGAATCTGCAAACATCTGGAGGCAAACAAAGCCATCATCAGAAGCTAGAAACAGATCGTGCCAGACAAATCTTACTACATTCTTTGACAAAATGATAAAATTAGTGGATGAGTGAAATGCTGTGGATATAATTTACTTGGATTTCAATACGGCATTTGATAAAGTAGACCACAACCAACTACTTGATAAATTAAAAAATATGGGTTAATAAGCATCATTACCAGATGGATTCGTAACTGGCCGACCAACTGAATTTAACAGTTAGTGCTTAATGGAACTGCCTCTACATGGAGGGAAGTTTGCAGTGGGGTACGCCAAGGCTATCTTAGGCCTGGATAGGCAGTTTGTGTTTATAAGGAAACTGAAACTTAAAAAAAAAGACAATCTACTATCTGGATTTATTTAATTTACTATAGTTTTAATCACCAACAAAAACATTAAGGTAGATTGTGAAATGAATGCCACAAAGATAGAATAACAGAATAATAGAGTTGGAAGGGACCTTAGGGGTCTTCAAATCCAACCTCCTGCTCAAGCAGGAAACCCTATACCATTTCAGACAAATGGTTGTCTAATTTCTTCCAGTCTTAAAGCACTAAATATTCCAGGACACAGTATTCATCTTGTATTGATAATGGTTAATGTTGTGTTACTGCTACTACT